TGACTCAGTTTCTTGCTTGAGTGCCTTGGAGGGATGACAACTAAACCCCCTGGGAGAGGGAGACAAGGAAATAGCATCCATCTGAATTCACTAGTTTGAGATGCGGGCCCTTGTCTTAAATTTACCCTTGTTCTTGAAAAAGACATACCTTTTAGCTTCAGGATTCTCATCTCCAAATGACTCTGTCCTTCCACGGTCTCTAAGGTTTCTTACATGAAAGCTTTTTTTTTTTTTTTTTTTTTTAAAAAAATAGTATCTTAAGTATAAGGTACTTTGAGCTTTAGAATTTCTAAAGTACTTTTTGCTTCCTTATAAAGAGTGAAGGTCTCTTTTCATGCTGATGGGCCTTGGAGCAGAATTTGAGAAACACTTCCCTGTCCCTAAGGCTCTACCAAATGCTTAGCAGTTGAGAGATAAAAGGAGAATTTGATGGTTCTCTAAAAAAACAAAACAAAGCAAAACAAAAAACCCCAACAATGAACAGACATGTAATTAATCCTTCACAATCATATTGATTAATACACTGAGTATCTAATACTGAATTTTCTGTGTTTGAAGATGTCATTGCTCATTGTCCCTCCCCTTGAGTCTGTACTGTGGCCCTGAAGATGGGAGGGATCATGTTGATTTTTTTGTCCCCTAAGTGGAGAAAAAATGAGGAGTGACGTCCATTACTTTCCCAACCACCAGCCCTTTCTGAGTGTGTGGAGGAATTTAGAATAATGCGGGAAGTTGCCTGAGTGTAGGCGGTACTGACAGCGGCTCCTTTGAATGGGGCGGACTCCTGGCAGGGTGCACTGCTGAAAAGTGTCACGGCGAAGTCTCGGGTCACCTGCCTCCCCACCCCGGCATCATACCCTGTCGGCTGAGTCTTTTTTCACACTTTTTATTTTCAGTGATGTGCACCTGTTTGTGTGGTATTGCTGGTTAACCTTTTAAGGACAGGCTCTTCGTAAATTAAAATGTCCCATGCGTGTTGCATAATGCTCATCCTCGGACAGGCTGATGCAAATGGGAAATGGAGCTAAAGGTGCTGTATTTTTCTTTAAGGGGAGTAATGGCTTTCTCTCAGTAACTTTGGCTTTACTTCACTCTTCTGTAAATATTAACTTCAGAATTTTCTTGCACCTAAAAAGTAGACTTAGAATTCCCCATAGGATTAAAGAGGGTATCTCAGTTCCGTCCTGGCATAACGCACAGCAAGCGTAGCTCGCTGGGGTCCTTCATTCATATTGGCTGGTTTGCTGCCCTTCTCTCTGATCTTTCCTCCTTCTTTTGGAGATTTATCTTCCTCTGTCTATGAAATAGTGGTCATTCTTAAGATACTGTTTTTGTCTTCTTTTCTTCCACTGAACCTGCTCTCCTTAAATGACCTTTTTATTAACCACGACTTCAACTCTCGCCTAAGGCATGTGATTCCCAAATCCTTACCTCTGGCCGCGATATCTCTAAAGAACTCTGAAGCAGTTTAGGTAGATCATTCCATCTTGGGCACACCCAGCCGCCTCCCGTAGGCGCATCAGACCCTTCCTGTTAAAAACGACTCTCTTGAATTCTTGCCATACTCCCCCTCAAGTGGTGTCTGCATGTGAAAGAAACCACTCTTTACACAGCCGCATGAGCAAGAAACCTGGGAAGCAGCTGAGCTCTGCTTCCCCCTCACCCCACAGTAAAAAGTCACAAAATACTGGTAAGTGAGTTCCCTTGACAGGTTTCATGTATATTCTCTCTTGCCTGCCCCCATGGCTACCACCTTTACTCAGGTAGGCATCACCCTCACTGGCACATTTCGACTCTACAGATAGCGTGGCCTCACAGTCCCCCAGCTTTATGCTTTGAAACAGTCTCTACACTAAACAAAAAGCAACCTTTGTAATCGCACCTTTAGTCATACCATTCTACTCCGTATTTAAAACGAGGTCCAATGTCTATGACTTGGTGCCGGCACTTGTCTGTGAACCCGCTTTCCAGTCTCATTCTTTTGCCCTCCTCGGGCCCTGAGGTACAGCTGGCATGGCCTGCCCGTCTGTGTCTACCTGAACAGTGAGTGTTAAGTGTCCCATTTGCTGTGAGGCGGCCTCATCCCCCTTTCAGAACAATCTAGCACACCCTTGCTTCGTCCCGCGGGATACCGTGCACTTCTAAAACAGCTTCTAAATTGTTTACTTGCATGGCTCAGGCTTAGGGAAACTAATGTCCTTGAAGTTCAAGGAAGTATCTCATTAACGCTTGCTCCTCCGGAGTCTAGGACAATGCCCACGCATTGCAGATACTCAATAAATGTAAATCGAATGAGTGAGTTAATAAATGAATGTCTCAGTTAAATTCAATATCTACATATGAATAATTATGGAGATGAAGTATTTATATATGGAGAGTACTATATAGAAATTGAAACTCATCTTGGTACTATTTTAGTTAATTCTCTAGTTTTAGGTAGTTGATGAATGTATTTTATCTAGTTAAGTGCTTCAGCTAATTTTTTAAATCACTGTACTTGGCTTCTAACCTTTTCCTATCGCTTCTCTACAGGTTTCAGGACAATTATTCCTTGAGCTTCTTTATTTTGCCATTGGAAATGTATGTGTGTTGAATTATTGATTAGGCTGTGAACCAAAAATCATAGGCATATATGCTTTCCTTCCTTATTAACAGAGAACTACATTGCACACACATTAAAAACCTACTTGACTCTAAAGTAAAGAACCAAATGTGTTCTGATATGAGGGTTTTGAACATTTCTCTCCAAATCGTTGCCAAATGAACAAACACACATAAATACCTGATCCATAAGAGACAATCAGAAAAAGTTTCAAGAAATTCTCTATTTATATTTGATTTTGTGTTATATAAGACAACACCTCATTCCAAGGTATCATTACGTCAGACCATTCATAGAATTTCATGACTATATAATAGTTAAGATATGAATTTGACCTTCCCTGCCCTCTGAACCCCAAGACACATCTTCGAGGCCAGCTTTACTCTGGCTCCTGTCTCCCTTACTTCCAATACCCCATATAAAAATCTCAGGTACTGTATGGAAAGGTCTTAGCATCTTTCTCACCAAAGTGTGGGAAGGCTCATAGAAATGTTTTTATCTACCAACACCTAGCTTGGCATTATCTAAGGAGAAAGAGAGTAAGAAGTCAATGCTAATCTTGAAGTCATTATCTCATAAGGATGGTGCTCTGCTTCCTCCAAGCTCCACTGATTCTCTCTGGGGCAAGACTGAGATCCAGGAACCATCCAAATACTTAGGGGGTGTAATTTGCAACGTGGTCCCAGGAGTATCTTTGTCCTTATTAGTATTCAAGTTTTATGTGTATAGATCCAGTTGGGTATTAGGTCAATAATCCCAGCTCCTTTTCTTCTGAACATCTATCCCCAGGGCCCAGAGAAATGGAGACAGAAAGACAAACAACTTCTGGTTCTCCTGGTAGAGATGGTGTCTGTGTCCTTTGCATCTTTGTCCCATCTCCCTGAGGCACCCTCAGAAACAATATAGCAGGGCCTGGGTGGCAATGACCTCACTATAAAACCTTTACAGATGGTGCTCACAGTGAGCAGGCCCAAGTCTATGCATCAGCTTTGTCAAAAGAACAGGGACGACTCCTGCACCTGCCAAGGCCCTCTTTCTGAGACTGTTGGAGGGATCAAGATCTTCACCTGTGGCCTTCAAAATCTCTCCTTGTTTCTGTGCAATTTCCCCTAAATCTAATATCTCAGAGATAAGAAGACTAGGGCTGGTGCCACAGTGAGTAAAGGGCCTTTGCAAAGTGTGGTAATTTGGAGAAGCTGGGGTCTGGAGGAAGGAAGGGGTCCAGGAATCAGCATACTGAATGGGAGGTACAGAGTCAGCTATGGGCAGGCAGGTTTCTGGGCTTAAGACAGGGTTGGAATTTGCAGATCTGGAGTTATAAGCAGCCCATTGAGAATGATCTTGTATGTCATGAATTGTCATGTAGCGGGTGTACACTTCTATGGAACACCTTAGGATTTCCCTTTTGGAGCTCCCTGTGGCCATATGGTTGGTGGGATGGCAGCCAGAGAAAATGAAAGAAGAGTCAAAGAACTTGATTAAATTCTAGGGCATGTACTTTGGATGTTACTCCTAATGTAATGCCTGCCATCCATCCATCCATCCATCCATCCATCCATCCATCCATCCATCCAAATGTATTGGGCACTATTCAAAAGCATTGGGGCCCAGAAACAGTATCTGCTCAGAACCAGAGGAGAAGCCCTGTAAGAGGCTGAGATAGGAGGGGAAATATTATATTTTTAACTTTTTACATAGATAACCACATGCCTTGACCCTGTACCATAACTTACTTCTAGGAATGCTGAACAGATTAGGGATGTTGGTCTGCTTGTCACCAGAAGGGAGACAGCCAGATTTTCCTGCATAGCATCAGGAAGTAAAAAACTTACTAACATTTACTAAAGTCCTAAACCTAGTGAACATTAGAAAATGGACCTCTATGAAACTGTATTTGTAAATCTCATTTCCTAATTGATTTACTCATATATTTACTCGTGATCATTGATTGAGCACCTGCAATGTGCACACATTATATAACAAGAGCAATTAAAATGAGAAGAAAAAAATGGGAACAGAATTTAAAAGCTAAATAAATTAGAAAGTAAAACTACATGAGAATATGGCTATAGGCCTTTCTCAAAAACAAAATGAGTAGTCATTCTGTAAAACTACTTATTCTATGGCTGCCATCGGGATGGTAAAAATGTGGATCTTGCCATCAAAGTGAATAAAATTCTGTCAGAATGGAAACATTACATGATACCCTGTGCCCTCTTATACTAGTTACCTGAACAGATTGTGTTTCTACTTTAGTGTGGATGAAAGGATCTGACGTGATGGCTCTGAGAAGGATTGCTAGCTGAGTCAACACACAGTGCGCACCATAAATGCCCTTTCTGTTTAATGACTAATCCAGATCTGCATTTGCTCCTCAGCTCACAGCACACTGCAGCACCCACCCAGGACTGTCGCCAGGGCATGATGGAAAATCAGACATGGGTCACAGAATTCGTTCTCCTGGGATTCCTGCTCAGCCCAAACATGCAGATGCTCCTCTTCGGGCTCTTCTCCCTGTTCTACGCCTTCACCCTGCTGGGCAACGGGGTCATCCTGGGGCTCATCTGGCTGGACTCCCGACTGCACACCCCCATGTACTTCTTCCTCTCACACCTGGCTATCGTCGATATTTCATATGCTTCCAACAATGTCCCCAAGATGCTGGAGAACCTTCTGAACAAGAAAAAAACTATCTCCTTTGTCCCATGCATAATACAGACCTTTTTATACATGGCTTTTGCTCACACTGAGTGTCTTCTCTTGGTAATGATGTCTTATGATCGGTACGTGGCCATCTGCCACCCCCTCCATTACTCTGTCATCATGAGCTGGAGAGTGTGCACGGCCCTGGCCGCCACTTCCTGGGTATGTGGCTCCCTCCTGGCTCTGGTCCACGTGGTTCTCATCCTGAGGCTGCCCTTCTGTGGGCCTCATGAAATCAACCACTTCTTCTGTGAGATCCTGTCTGTCCTCAGGCTGGCCTGCGCCGACACTAGGCTCAACCAGCTGGTCATCTTTGCTGCTTCTGTATTTATCTTAGTGGGGCCCCTCAGCTTGGTGCTGGTGTCCTACACACGCATCCTCTTTGCCATCCTGAGGATCCAGTCTGGGGAGGGCCGCAGAAAGGCCTTCTCCACCTGCTCCTCCCACCTCTGTGTGGTCGGGCTCTTCTTTGGCAGCGCCATCGTCATGTACATGGCCCCCAAATCCCGCCACCCTGAGGAGCAGCAGAAGATCCTTTCCCTGTTTTACAGCCTTTTCAACCCCATGCTGAACCCGTTGATCTACAGCCTGAGGAATGCAGAGGTCAAGGGCGCCCTGAGGCGAGTGAAGGGGAAACAGAGAGCAGTGTGAGGGATGCTGGGGATAGTCTTGGAGGTGGAAGGTTTGTTCTCTGTGAGATCTGGAGGGATGGCAATGTACACACTCAAAAATCTCATGTCTTAGATTTCTGCTATCAAGAATATATATTAATCAGATTCTGTCATTAACATGGGGTACTGTCCAGAACACGGAGCACAAACAGAGTGATGAAGAGCAGACCCTGAGACAAGAGGGACAAAGTGGGGAGGCACAGGGGCAGAAAGCCAGGGACTCGTACAGCCAATTCCCAGCACAGCCTGAGATCTGGTTTCTTTCTGTGGAGGATTTGTTCTCTCCAATCTCCTCTTAGATTCCTCTGTAATTTCCATTGCCCTTATTGCTGTACAAATATGCTAACAATCTGTAATATCTGCTGCTACAAGAGTGCACCTCTAGCAAGGCAGAATTCTCACCTTGGATACCCAGACCCCCGTGGGGAAATGCAGGGAGGACTGTGGTCGAGCCAGCTCCCTGCTCTGCAATGTAACGTCAGAGACGATGACATTTGATCTGATAAAACATCTGCATCTGAGCCTAATGAATCTATTCCTGGGCAAAGTTTAATTATATGAAATTTTAATATGAGAGACAGAAATATCTGAATCTTTGTTTCATTTCATTCTGCACCATTTGATTAGAAGGAGTGTGTATTTAGAATAAATATGAGTCAGTTACTAGGGAGAGTTGCCTTTCCCAGGGTCCAGGTGACAGAGCTGGATGCAGGTGATGATTGCCCATGAGGATGAGAATTACATAAAACATTATAGGAGTAGGGAAATATTGTGAAAGGAAGAAAGCATCAGGGGAGCCTAATAGCTTGACGGAACATTGTAGACCCCCCCACTTAGAACAAAAACCAGGACAGAGTTAGATAAGGATTTGTAGGAACCTCAACAAAATTCCAAAGAACATCTGCTCCAGGGGCTAGAAATCACTCTTCTGGACCCAAGCGGTCAGAACGATATGGAAGAGGGATCTGATTTCTTTCAACACAAGTTCGGGACCTAAGTGGCCAGCACAGTAGGGTAACTGATTTCTTTAACACAGTAATCATGGTGTCTCCTGAATTCCCTTCCTCTCTACTCTTGTAGTTTCATGTGCCATTCAAGTGTGTGATATGTGCGGTAGTGTATTATCTGCTTTCTCTGGATCTGTTTTTCACCCCGATTTCTCATATGCCATTGTCACTTCGTATCTTTCTTCTCCCATGAAATTAGGAAGCAAAAGGGGAGCTTTTCTCTTCCACCCTCCTGTTTCCCTCAGTTCTCAAAGAGACTCACTGCTGACTATTCTACTCATTGACTCTTTTAGTCATTGACTATTCTGCTCATTGCCTATTACTACTCATTAGTTCACTTGGGCAAAAGATTTTGTCTCTGGCCATTAGTCTTCTTATCTCCACAGCATCAGGACATTTCTAGCCCCAGATCCTTGTTTTATGCTCCCCACCCAAATGTATGAACAATTTGAATAAAGCAATAAATATTGGCTCTAAATGTAACAAAAGCATTATGGAATTATGGAGTGCCCTGTTATATAGGTAAAAAGAAAAAACAGGCAGTCTTTTTCATTAGAAATGTTTTTTTAGCTATACCTAGAAAAATTATTTTCTCTAAAATATGTATATCTTGTGTTAAGGTTAAAACCCTAAAAAGGAAGAGAAAGAGAAAAATATAGGATAATTTCTCTCACATAAAACACAGCCATAGGTTTGAGTTTAGCAGGGCCTACTAGGAAAATTTCTAGCAGGGCCCACTAGGAAAATTAGGGATGGCATTCACTCTCATCATGTCAGTTCAAAAATACTGGCATGACAACGGGCCTAGAACCAAGTTTCTGCCCAGGCAACTGTATGATGGGTTATAAAGAGATGCCCTCCAGCAGGTCAGAGAAGGGGCTCAGACTGAGAAATAAAACAATAAAACAAAACTATTTTATTAATAAACTATAGGAAATGTCAGAGCAGATGAGAGATTTCTACTAACTGTTTTAATATTTGAGTTTTAGGATTCGAATAAGCAAATTATATTTTGCTCTTATGACTTCTTTATATATATTCTTCTAGCAATGGTCACCGATTTCAAAGAGCTGAGAAACAAAAAAGGATGCATTTTATTTATGCTGAGGATTCTGTGCGGTATGTCCCAAGTATTATCCTAGTTACAGTTCACCAATAACACTGTGAAGTAGACATTATTATTATTACTATTATTATTATTTTACTGTTGACACTATCACAGATGTCCTGCATTTTTCTCCCCTTTTCCCACCTCCACCCAGCCCAGGCTCCCCTTCCCTCTGCCCATCACCACAATGTTGTCTGTGTCCATGGGCCATGCATGTATGTTCTTTGTCTCTACCTATTTCCCCCTTCATAGATAAGAAAACAAACTTTCAAGTAATTTAGTAATTTGGCCTACACCACAGAGCCAGTAATAGGACCTAGCAGGGGGGTTAACTAATCATACCGATTCCAAACCCACACTGCTCATTAGCTTTCTTCCCAAAATATCACAGATTTTAGCTCAACATGCGTGAGGGTTGGCATCCACATGACAGAGCAGAGAAGGGGAAACAAAAGAAGAGTTTACATTATTCTGGTTAAAGCACTAACTCCAGAAAGAACACATATGTTATCCAGCCCTCATTGGAGATGCAGTGCTCCCTTTGAATAGAGTAGAAACTCGCACCTTAGTGGCCTAAACATGCCCCTTAACGACTCCTTTTCAATGCCTCTCTGTAAATAACAGCAGCCCCAGAGGGCACTGCTGCAGAGGCAGAACCTGAGTAAGACACCCTGCTTGGTCAGCATCTCCTCTTACCTAGGGTTCTGGTCTTTTGCCCGTCACCAAATTTACCCATTTATTTCTTTTGCTTAGGAGGAAAGCTCTCTAGAAGCTTCCCCACCTCTCCCATATATAGACTAGTATGGTCCTACCTCACTTTCACTCCAGCTGATAGGACTGAAGGAAAGCAGGGACCTAGCACAGGCACAGATTGAGACATATACTATTTAGGACTCACATCCTTGTTGTGCCACAGCACCTAACCATAATATAGCCTCCCAATCAGAGGTTTAATCTTAGGTCAGACTAAGGGGGGTGTCTAAGACAAAAGGGGGGAAGATTCTGTGCCCATCTGTGTCGGGATTCAATTTCACAGGAAAGTGGCTGGAAGCAGAAGGCTGAGACCCTAGGAGATGTGGGAGGTCAGCAATAGGTGGTGCTGTGGCTATAGATGGACAAGAACTGCATTCTCATGCACTGAGATTCCCAAAGTGTGATTAGGATGAGAGACCCAGTGTGAGCAGCAAGAGGAGAGTGAGGGACTGTGCCTCTAGTTTCCTGATCAATATGTGGTGTCAGAGAAGGTGAAGGGACAAACAGGTTCTGGGTGGGGCAAATAGGTCAGCCACATTGGTGGTAGCAGGGACCAGCATGGTCAGTGGCCAGGGGCAGTGTTTCTGGTGGAGACAAAGAAGGGACAGGCTGAGCAGCATGCAGTTGGCCGTGAAGTATGTTATATTCTCCATGATCTTGTTCCACTGACACTCAGTGTTCTCAAGGTGCTCAGGTTTCTGTCCACTGCAAGGCTGGGGAGCTTAGGAGGTGGGGGCAGCTCACCTCGATCCCACAGCAGTAGTGGCAGAGGTAGCAGACGTGGCTTGGACACTGCATTTGAAGGCCTCCTGCTGGCAGAGCCCAGTGGGGAACTGCTCCTTGGTGGGAGGTCTGAAGGCTTCTCACCCTGCATCTCTTTAACCACAATCAGTGAACCTGGCAAGCACTTCCTCTGTGACTCAGCAGCAGGGAGCAGTCTGGGGCTGGTCAGAGAGCACTGTGGCCTCTGAATCAGGCTTCTGGGGAGGCAGGACATCTCCCGCAGGGCTGTGTGAGCTTGTGGCCACGGGCCTTCAGAACAAGAGCCCATGGAAGACATCTGAGCCACCCCACTGAAGCTGTCTTGTGGGCGTTTGGGATGCAGGTTCAGAGGCCCAGGGCTGCACTTGCTGGAAGTGGGACTGTGTTGGTGTCCTGGGGCCTAGATGCTGGTGGTAGATCCCCACCGCTGTGGGGACTGGTCCCTTCATCCTGTCTGTTGGTCTCCACCTGACCCTCTTGACTCTTTGGGGGCTTCTGTTGGCCCTTCGTCTCCATCTTCTTTGGACAAAGAAGTGTGATGGTTGTGGATGGTCCCAGCTTCACAGCCTTGACTACCTGCTCAGGCCGTGAACGCGGTAGAGAAAATCTGGGCCCTGGAGGAGGGATGTGGATGGTTCTTGAGTTTCCAAACCTGATGGAATGGGGAGCGGACAGCACCGGCTTCTTTGCAGGGTTCTTCTGGCTCCCAGAGGGGAGGATCCCACAGGGGAGTCCGCGGCCTGCAGGAGAAGGGACCGCCTCCTGGGTGGATGTCAGGGCCTGATGGTAAAGCTGCAGGATCCCTGTGGACCATCCTGTGACCAGGTACCAGCACAGGTGCAGGAGCAGGGAGGTGGTCCCGGCCAGGTGAGGTCTCATCTCGGCTGACAGGGAAAACAACCAGGTGACGTCCACTGGGCGAGGGACTGAGGGGCAGCCTGAGAGACAAAACTAACAGAGCAAGTGGCCCATGGAGGGCTGGTTGTGAGCCAAACAGCTGAGAATAGCGCAGGACACTGGGGGAGCGTGTCCCTCCTTCCTGCTCCTCTCCTGCCCCAGGGGACTCTGAGGGAACTTCATTCAGGGGCTTCTGACCTCTCCCTGGACACCTCGCCTAAGAAGGTGGGCTTGCAAGTCCTGTGCAGGGAGAGAGAGGTCACAGGGAAAGGGGCTCAATGGCTGGCCAACTGCTGTGGGCTTCCCTGTGCCCTGGGGTGGGTGGCAGCTGTTTAGTGGTTGGTGACCTGCAATGGGGACTGTGCCAGACCTTGGGGGGGGGCATCCCCAGTGCTCACTCCGCCTGGGCGTTGTCTCTGTGGCCCCTCAGCACCTCCCTCGGGTCTGGACTGAGGCGAGGGAGCCCTGCAGCGGAGACGTGGCCCA